ATTTTAATTACAACCAATTGGTCGGCGGTGAAGGAAAACATCTTGAGAAAACCTGCATGTCTGAGAAATGAGAAAAAAATATTTCGAAGGAACGTGAAGTTCGCCAATTCGCGCAGCGCGGCAGACATTTCCTTTACCTAAAATCCCACTCAGAAATTAGAGGAGGCCTGTGCTTAGCAGTGAAACGTATACAGGCTGTAACTTTAACTTTTATTTTTAGTATTCAAATGAAATTCTTGTTGTTACCTTGAGCTTCTCATATCCCTTAATCTACTCAAAGTTGTAAAAAAATTGAACTTTTTGCAAAAAGTAAAAGCGAACTTCCAAGAATTACGGACGACCGAACCGCACCGACTAAGTTTTTATGTGGAATGTAATATAAATTAGTTTTAGTTAATTGAATTCGGTTTTTAATTTTCATTAAAAGTTCACATTTCGAATGTCACAAATTATGGGAAATAAAAAAATAACCTACGATATTCAAACTGGATATTCTACAGTAACCCGTAGATTTTAGAAATATTTGCTTGACTGAGGGGAATTATGGCAATTCTACAGTAATGCGAGCACTGGGAGGTATGTAATAAATGCATTCTTGGCATTATACATTTCTTATCACGCACGACCTTATTTTTTACTGACACCAGCAGTTCTCCCAAAGCGATACGACTTAAGGACTTTCAAGAAAAAGCGAACTCCTTTTTTAAGGACCGGCAACTTACTTGTAGTTCCCCTGATGTTGTATAGGATGAAGATAATGATAATCGTATGATTAAAAAATATTTATTCATACGATAATCGTATAAATAAACAAAATATAAACAAAGTTAATTTTTTTCGAAATTTTATTTTAATTGATTTATGTTTAACGGTTATACCATTATAATGTACCTACGCAGCTTTAGGTTAGCCCAAGGGCCAGCCTAGCTCCCCCCCGAACGGGTTCCCGCCTTGTCGTGGCGGGGGGGCTTAGTAGCCGTGGCTTGATCAACCGCGGTGAACAAAGAGGAACCCCTGGGCTGGCCCGAGGTGTAGGGCCGGCCAGAGGTGGCCACTCCGAGCGGACTTGACGAGCCCGCTTCGGATGTGTGTTGGTGGGCTGCAGATAGAGGGGGAGGTCGCGGACGAAGAGGAGTGCTGGTATGGCGATGCGCCACTCGCCCTATCATCCGCGACTCTGACGGGGCCGCACCGTTAAATGATGCGGTGGTGGTGGGACTGCGGGGGAAGAGGAATGTTGGTATTACGAGGCGCCGCTCTCCCTACCCTCCGCAGCCAAATCTTGGTTGGCGGCGGAGCCATAGACCAGATCCGCCGCTGGAGTCAGGAAGGCTGGTGCTTCTGAGTGCTAGTTTTTCCTGGCCCCATGGGCTTCGCGCATCGGACACGGGGGTGTCCGTTGCGCATGTGAAATTTGAGGCCGAGGAGGAGGGCGCGCCATGTGTTCTCGTGCGCCTTGCCGGAGAAGGGGATGGGGGAGGAGTGGTCCTCTCCCGGGGGGAAGCCGCCATGGGGTGGCCAGCGCAGGTGGGGCCGCGGAAGTTTGCGAAAGCGTTCCCGTGGCCCTGCCAATATGCGATGAGGGTGGAACACCATGGGGTTTTAGTCGGTGCGAATCCGACATAACCCGTCCTTGCCCCCGCGAGGCGGGTATGCGTAGGCATTTCCCCATGTAAAAAAAAGGGCCAGCCTAGCTGCAAATTTAACCTATTGTCAGATATTGCAAGAGTGGTGTAATATTTTGTTAGACGCAAATAGCTTAATCATGTGAGTAAGTATTTTTTTTATTTATTTATTTATTTATTCTTTTTTACATCTACCTAATAATAAGGGATATAAAGGGCGGACATGTGTGGAAGGTGTGCCTGGTGGCATTCTCTACCAGTCAACCCTGGATGATTTGCGAAGCTGTGGTAGGTGTAAAACCACTCCATAAATTAATAAATAAGTGAAAGCATTATATCATATAACAAAAAGCATATAAATGAAATATTTTTAAAAAAAATTAATAGTAAATATATAAACGGATACTTATATCAAGTACAAGTATCAGAGTTTATAAAATATAATGTAATGTAATATTAATATTATTCAAATTTTTTATTATATTTCTTTTACTTAAAATATTTGTACTTTTATACTTAAAATGAACTAGTGGATTACCAGCAGGAGTCAAATTATATTTACGACAAAGAAAACCCTCTAGGAAATGAACAAACTTTATAGCGTCGGCATTTTTGTAAGTCAGGATAAACGTAAATTATAATTTTTCTAACTTTAAAAGAATTATGGACTCTCTTTTATAAACAACGAAATAAATAATAAAGTTTCATCAACAGATACAATTTCATGTAAGTATGAAGTTTAAATTACTATATTTTTTATTATTTTTTATGAAATTTTTCCTCACGGTGTTCTGCATTTAAAGTACAAATAATAAACAAGTTAATTACTTATTCGTTTATTACAGTAGCCACTATCAACTCGTGGACTGTGAGTGCGTTTGTCGATTTAGTTTTATAAAAAAAAAACTATATATCTATCAATTTACCGTTCTAGACCAGTGACCAGAAACGGCTGGTACTATGATCTTTGATTATCTACCAGTCAAGCGTGGCAATTAGAAAGAATCCTAAAGGTATCCCATATCTAGCAGTAGACTTTTATGCGCTGATGAATAAATGAGATTTTCTTTAATAATATATATTAGAGTGATGAATGACCTAATAATCTACTGAGGTGAAATGCCTCACAATCGGTAATTATACTGGATGCTATGCTTCTTGACAGCAAAAATAAATAAGAGGTTTATACCACCCACACAAATTCTTAGACGGATAAATAGTCGGGCCTAAAACACATAGTTAAATAATAAGTAATAAAGCCACTTTGTTCCTTATCCCTATATTTCAAATTTTATGCATTTCCAATGTTGTTTAATAGTATAAGTAATGTTACTGCTACTGTTACAGACTATCAAAGTCCATTGCTCAATATGCATGGCACCTGGAGGGGGAGGCCCTCCAGATATTACCTCATAGTGTGGATATTTGCCATAGTTGCCACGCTTGACAAGCGGGTTGGCAACCGCAGTTTATTTTTTATTTTTAATCGTCATTAGGCAGACGCTGCTGCCCATCTGATTTCGTTTCCCTCTGTCGCCTCTTACGACACCTTCAAGATGATATGGGGTAGTGGATATTCGTACACCGCCACTATACGGTAATACTAATAGCTTAATTTATATAAGTAATTAATTGAACGGTTTACTGTGTATATTTTCAGATATATGTATCTCGATTTAAGTAAAGGCTTCTCCATCTGTTTCGTCAATTCTCTATTTTTACTTTTACTGATCCAGTTTTTCCCTGCGCAACAACTTTTAAAATCATTTTAGACGTAGTACCTAAGCATATTGTTAGAACACAGCTAAGCCAGCGGTTCAAATCTCGCACGGGAACAAGCAATTTGTATGGCCTAAAAATAATCGTTCAAAGACGACTGTTCGTTCGACTGTACCTTCAAAATAAGATCCTACACATTTACTTTTTCTTCAAATTCTCTTATTTTGCAGTTGTTCATGGGCGATTGGTGTTCAGGATTCAGTTGTTTGCCCCCCTTTTCTATAAAAAAATGTGATTCCGATGTATGATGTTTCCTTCATCTCATGCCACAATTAATAGAGGTTTTATATTCTAATACAAAACGCTCAAATAATGTTAGTAGGAAGCGTGTGCAACCCGAAAAAGGGAAAACGAAAAATAAAAAATAAATGCCGACTTCATAGAAAAAATATATATTAAATAATCAATTAACACTCTCCCTGCCACCTTTATATAAAATTTTCTAGCTTAGCAAGCCATACGTGCCAGCGGCGTACCATAACTATACCACCACGAGCAGGCCACAGCAAAAAACGCGTCGAGCGCAGCAAGCCGTGCGGGCGGCCGGCGGGCTTACTTGTTGTTTATACTAGCAGGCTGTACGGTCCGCTACGATCTCACAAATTCATATAATTTTTGTAGATCGTGGCCTGCTGCTACAAAAAAAACTAATCTATCAGACTTAAACTTTGACTTCTTTTCTACAATTCAAAAAAAAAAGTTCATAGTTCTACCATTAAAATTGACTGTCTTGTCAGGGATTACTATAAGCAATAAAAATGCACTTTTTAAATTAAAGAAACGTTATTTTTATATTGAAAAAGACATAATAAAATTAATGACTAACTAAGTCTTTATGAACATTAACAAAACAATCGATGCAAACACTAGGAAAAGAGGGACAAATTAAACACACTGTATTGACTTTCTTAGTCACCTTACATGCCTCCACACTTGTCAGTCCTTCACTTATTTTATTTTCATAACAGTGGATGCACCTTCTTCTTACTATTCTGTTTCGATGGTCGACTAGTGGAGATTTTCCAAATTCATGGTCAGTGGGACAACGTTGATAATTTTGCCTGCTATTCTTAGTAAGCCCAATCAATTGGCGGCATAAATTTTCTTTGAATGTAGTTATAGATATTTTTAGGTGTTAAGTTGTTAGCCTTTTTATACAAGATAAAGGCATTGGTCATAGAAGCGCTGAACAAAAGTACTATAGGTAATTTCTGAAACCATCGCAAACTTGTCCTTCCTGGATTGAAATAACTTCCCATCTGGTCTGAATAATCAATGGAACATTTGTGAAGGTTAGAGTCAGCTATTAGTGTTGGTTTCAAACATACTTTATTATTTTTCTTTATTAGGTTTCTTTTGCTTCTGACAGTTACAAAACCAGGTGTATACTGAGTCAAAGCCAATACTTCTCGCTTATCTTTCCATCTGACGACTAATATCCCATCTTTATTTTCCATAGCACAGGTCTCGCTCTTCTTCAATTTTTCATTAAAAATTTCTTTAGGTAATCCTTTTCGGTTTTTTCTAAGCGTCCCTATTAGATGGGTGTTATTTTGCAGTAGATTTTAAGCTAAATCAACATTTGTATAATAATTGTCAGTAACAATACTTCTTCCAGCGTTTTAATACATTTCTGTGTTTCATGACAATTTTAGATGATACATTTTGAGTTGATGTAGACGTAGTCTTCTTCCCTTCATAAACAATCAGGTCATATGTATATCCATCGTCAACGCAAATTTTAAATATTTTTATGCCATGCTTGTTTCGTTTTCCAGGTATGTACTGCATAAAAGCAATCCGATCACGAAAAGCCACCATTGTTTCATCAACAGTGAGAAACTCTCCAGGTGTTTTGAACATGTTAAACTTTTTAGAAATGGTTTCTACAAAACGTCTTATTTTTACTAAACGGTCTGTTGTTGATAAGCCCATATAAAATGTATCTTCGAAATGCCAACATCGAATTAGTATTTCGAAACGGTTTCTACTCATCACCGTTTTTGCCACTTCATTTTCATATAGTATGTCTTTGCTCCAATAATCACTTATTTTTGGTAACTTTTTTAAGACCCATCCAAATAAGTTAATAATTAAAAAACAAATTTACCCCTGGATAACACCAACTATCAAATGTATGATGAAACTAAGGGATCAAGCCTACGCAAGGAGTCGTTCCTCAAAAGTTGAATCTGACAAAACATATTACAAAGATCTAAAACGTGTCGTTAATCAAGCCTTATTCAACGAAAAAGCAGCATACTTCCGATATAATATCAATGAACAATCAAAAAACCCCAAAGAATTATGGAAAAATTTCAAGTTAAATGTCGCTAATTTTAAAAACAAACAATACGATTTACCTGAAAGTATCAATGATCCTAATCTTATCAACAACCATTTTCTTAATATAGACGTAAATCATAACATTAGCATTTCGGAACTTACCTATTTTAAGTCGAATCGGTGTACCTCTGCAATATTTAGTCTTAAAACTGTGGATGAAACAGAAATTTCTAAAATAATTTCTAATATTGCGAGTAATGCTCAAGGAGCTGATGGCATTACGCGTGATATGATCCAGTTGACATTACCTCGTACATTAGCGATCATTACTGCCATTGTTAATCAGTCCATCAAAACAGGCGTTTTCCCTGACATTTGGAAAAGAGCTCTGGTCAAACCAATACCAAAGAAAAGCAATCCGAAGGAGTTAAAGGATCTCCGTCCCATTAGTATTCTTCCCTTTATGTCTAAGATAGTTGAAAAAGTGGTATCTCAGCAACTTTTGGAGTTTCTGAATGTCAACAACATCTTACCTCAAAAACAGTCTGGTTTCAGAAACGGTCATAGCACGGCTACTGCTTTATTAGATGTAGTGGATGACGTACTATCTGAAGCTGATTCTGGAAATGGAACAATATTGGTACTGCTGGACTTTTCCCGTGCTTTTGACACAATAAACCACGATTTGCTTATGTCAAAACTCTCATATTATGGATTTGATAGTATCACATTAAAATGGTTTTCAAGTTTTTTGTACAGACGCTCTCAAAGAGTTGAAGTAATTAGCAAAACAAATACTAAAAGACTCTCAGATATTTCAATTGTCAATCAAGGTGTACCACAGGGTTCAATACTGGGTCCACTCCTTTTTATTCTGTATAGTGCAGATATCGCTTCATGCATTAAATATTGCAAATTTCATGCTTATGCTGATGACTTACAGCTTTACTATTCTTTTAGACCTTCAGAAACTTTATTAGCAGTGACAAAAATTAATCAGGATTTAGCACACGTAGTTGAATGGTCTAATAAAAACAGCTTAGTGCTAAATCCTCAAAAGTCTAAATTTCTTATGCTATGGTCCAAAAATCAAGTAGATAGGATTAATAGGTTTACTTTAGAGCTAAAAATACAGAATAAACATATTGAACAAGTGACAGAGGCTAGAAACCTGGGTGTACTAATGGACAGCAAATTAAAATTTCATAATCATGTCCTGGAAGTTGTTAAAAATTGTTATTTTTGTCTAAAAATTTTATACCAAGTACGAAAATATTTAAGCTTAGACCTTAGGATATACTTTTGTGAGTCACTAATTCTTTCTAAGCTTAATTACGCTGATGCGGTTATAGGCGAATGTCTCCTCTCTCATACAAAGAAAGTTATACAAAGGGTGCAAAACGCTTGTTCACGTTTTTGTTTTAACATACCGAAGCGGACCCATGTAACACCTTATCTCAACAACAGTAATTTAATGAATATGCAGTCTCGACGTTCTCTTCATTTTGCCAGTTTATTGTTTGGTATCATAATGACACAGACACCACAGTATCTTTATAACAAATTAGACTTTTCACGGCGACAGGTTAGAATAGCAACTCGTTTAGTATGTCCAAGACACAGTACATCGGCATTTCGAGGTAGCTTTCGTTATTCTGCCACGAAATGCTGGAACAACATTCCACCACCAATTAGAAATCTAGCTTCAATTGGTTTGTTTAAATATAACTACAAAAAATACTTACTCAATATTCAAAAGTGAATTTATTGAAAATTATTTACTGTGCCTTACATACTTTGCTATTCCGTTTATTCGTTTCCTTTTAATCTTATTTAAGTAATTGCTATTTATATTATATTAATTTATTATAAGTACTTATGTATGTTTTATTACTTAATATTATTAGTGTAATCGTGTTTATGATTTAAATATACTGTATTTGCATATTGACTAAACATTGTATAATAATGAATATTGTTAAGTTTTGTTTTTGTTAAATGTTATCGGCACCCACGGAAGATCAGTGTCGAAGTACTTTGTTAGTACCAAGACTATGCTGAGTTGGGTACCTTTTTAGTAACCGTTTATCTTAATATGTTATTATGGTTAGCAAACTTCTAAAATGTGTTACTAAATAAACTTATTTTCTTTCTTCTTCTTTCTTTCTATAAGTAAACCGAGAATTTTTTTATTTCAGTTTTTTCACTTAGCCAACCGACTATTTTTCGATACACGATGAATAATCATTTTTTATTTACATATGAATTAGTCATTGTCACCATCATATCAATGATTTCTTTATCTACAAACAATGACCAAAAGTCAAACTCATTTTGACATTTAGGAATAATATTTTTCATATCTGGAATAGCCGTAAATGAGAACTGCTTCTTTCTTGTATCATCTACCATCATTGGTATACTCCAACTGGATTCCAGTAAGGTCTGTGAGCCTGATGGTTCCGTTGAACGTTGAAACTGACGTTGGTTTGACAAAGATTCTTCGGAATTTTCGCCAGAATCGCTGCTCAGGCTATGCTCTGATGGTTCGTGTGAAGACGACTGGTAGTCGGAATCATCCTTAGAATCCGACATGATGAAAAAAATTTTACGGAGCTATCAAAATCGCTCTGAAGTATTTATAGGATAAGGGTGACAAACGAGCAGACAGTCCACCTGATGGTAACTGGTTGCTGTGGCCCATAGACATCTACATCTATCCTCGATTGCGAATCAAAATGCAGATGCGTTGTCACCCGTGAGGACTAAGATAGAATGCCTCTTTTCCAGTAAAAAGGGTCACCGGTTCTCTACACTCAGCATACGAAACACAGCAGCATTAAGCTGCTATTTTACGCTGGAATTCTGTGAGAGCGTGGTCCTTCCCCGGTCGAGCCGACCCATTCGTGCTACAACTATACCAGTAATATAGCTGCAGCATGGCTCTACCATATTAAAAGTAAAAAGAAAGACCATATTACCATATTAAAAGTAAAGAGAAGTAAAAAGATTTGCAAAAAGCGCGCGAAAATAATGCAAGAACTTTTGCACGCCACGCGAGCGGCCAGCGGGCGAATGATTGATTAGTAAGTGTGGCGTGACGAACCGGGTAATTGTTTAAATGTAACGAGAAGTTTTGACATATTTTAGCAGGAAAGCTACGGGTCGCGCGCGGGGCGCATGGCCTGCCGCACTCGGCAGCTTCGCATATACTGGCGTGCCTTAGTCGAAAAGTTACGACCCATCGTCGGACCGCATGGCAGTGAGTGTTAATTAACATACAATAGCATCTGAAGGCGGATATAAGTCATAGTGTATAAAAGAATAAATACCATTATGTGAAAATAATTTTAGCCTTGTTTTGTTCTTGCAAGTCGGCTTTTACTTTTTATTAAAAGTTTAATTTTTGTTAAAAATGATCTAGGACAGATCACCATAGAAATTGTAAATTTCGTTTTACAAAATCTATTAGCACCAATGTCAAGTCACAATACGTATAGAATGGATACTTGAAGGCGTAATGTTATATTAATGTTTATGCATATATTACACTCCACTAGTATGCGCTTGTTTACAATTCGCGCTGTATATATTAGTTGTTGACATATACATATTATATTTAACTAAACGTAAATAAAAATAAATTAATTAAATAAGTTAACTTATATATATGTAAATAGAACATTTTTAGCCTACTAAAAAAAGGAGGCTTATAATTCGACATAATCAGTTCCGTTTGAAATTCGTTAATAAATATATTAAAAATTAATAAGCTAAAGTAAGCGTAATATTGCATGTACTAATGGGACGGGGATAGTGCTAGCATTTGAGGGAGGGCGCGAAGTGCTTTTCAAACTTTAAAAGCTTACTTAGTTAATTAATTAACAAAATCTTCCGTCGTCTACTACCATCTCGAGATGGCGAAGCCAACCTTGATTTTTCTGACCGAGACGCAGGTATCCTCTATAGATGATACTTCGTATCTCTCCTACCCGGCACCAAATTGGAACACCCCTTTGTGCCTCGGGCTGGAGTTTGCATATACGTTAGAGAAAAAATCTGTTCTCGATACTTCTGCAGTCTTGATGGTGCGGACCTCTCCATCCTCAGGCTACGCATAGACAGTGACAATCATCCGAGAGTCTACGGGTTTCTCTATAGCTCCCATAGCGGTAATGCCGAAACAGACCGACTCGTCGACCATGCCCAAATGGCTACAGATTCCTTTTACAGCAGATCCCATCCGCATCTCACGCTAACATCGTAGTTGCATTCTGCAGGCTGCCGCCATGTTTGTCACTATAGGTAGGTCGATTGGAATAGGATGCGGTCTTTATTTGCATCCTACCATTGCGGGCGAATTTGCTTCTCGCCGGACGGTCCCAACGTTGTTGCTAATTCTATCGCTGATGTGGTACTTTTGGGTATGTAACTTTTTAATCCTTCTTCAGATCTCAGCCATGGCTTAATTTCTCCTGTAAACTACCATTACGCTTTAAACAGGAGTGCCACCGGGCCTGGGCTGACATACTAACGTTTCGGGATGTAAACACCAGCGCCCTTAAAAGGAAGTATAATTCCGCCTCCAGGTCCTTCAAAAAAATCATTGCCAAGACAAAGTCAGAGCATATCGACAGAATTGGCGGGAGACTAGTTCGTTCTTCCTTCGGGAACCCATGCGTTCTGATCTCTTGCCAAAGCTGTCCAAG